GTCTGTTTTTTTTTTTTTCACGCACACTGTGCGGAAAAGTGATACTTTCCGCACGCAAATCGGTGCTTGAAAACGCGTTTTCTGCACGCTTGTAGGAAAACCTTCATTAAAAACTGCTATTCCATCAAAGTTACTACCAGAACGTGATGTTAAGTAACACTTACCGCTGATTTTATAATATGAAATTAATTGAGTAACAATAATTATTGAGATTATCCGTCAATTAATTTAATGCTAATCGCTAAGCAGAAAAAGTTTTTCCATAATTTTTTAAAACCAAAAAATTATTAACGTAAATATTCTTAAAAGACATTCTTTTTCAAACTCCCCCTGTAAAAACATTACCAAGTACAATCGGGACCAGCGCCCTCGTATTTGCTTCTTATCTACAAATCGGCGCGTGCTGACATGATTTACGACCTTCCGCAAAAAAAGCCGGCTTTTTGAGGAGATCAAAGGAGTGACCGGACTTGTTCGAGGATCTTTAGACTTTGGTTAAGGTATGAGGAAACTCTCTTCGTGTGGGACTGATCGCGTTGCTGCCCTGCCCCGCGACGATAATATTGATTTTAACATGTTATTCCGATGTTATTTGAGGTGTATTAACAATTCATTACATAGTTTATACGTATTTTTCTCAAAGTTGACAAAATAACAAATGATTCATAACGAAAACGAAATATTTTATTGGCGTTTGTCACTAAAATAAATAACTGCTAAGTTCTAAGGCTTGTATCAACAGGAAAACTTCTTTGAATAATACAAATGGGTACACTATTTGATTCGTAATTTTGTACTCTACAAAAAACGCTCGTTGTACTTTTTTGTTTAAACTTACCGTTTTTGAGAAAATTCCAACAAACCTAAAAAATGTACCTTTGGGGGTGGTTTTGGGGTTGCGCCCCCTATCGGATTTTTAACGCATTATAGAAAACACTGAAAGGAACACAATGACGCAAAAATCAACTTGTAGCGAATTTGTTTAGGGTTGCCCACCTAGTTTTACTTGCCTAGATTAGGTAACAATTTTTCCGTTTTGATTTAATAAATGGACATCTAAAGTACCTACTCAAAAATCTTGATTGAACAGTTAAACAATAATGCTCTATCTAGAACCTACTGAAAATATTATAGGTATATTCTTTCTCTTTTGCTTTGTAGGACTTCCAAGAGAGGGAGCCATGCGCTATTAAAGGTCTACATCTTGCCTAGCGTTAGAATCACCTTGGAACCTGTTCTCTCAGTTGGCGTGCTTACCGCGATGAGAGGATAACAAGCTCGAAACTGGAGCTTTGGTTAAACAAGAGAAGTTTTCCAACAACTCTTTCACTGCCTTTCATAAAAAAAGACTGAGAGGAGCATTATTTGGATGCGAAAATCAACATTCCAAGTATATCCCTAGAATCAAACAAAAATGTTGTCTAGGATGCATATTGAGAATGATGTAGATCTAAGAATATTTTGAGCATATTGGTATACTATTCTCTTGAGAACATAACTATAATGTCATAGAAACATTCCTTGAATGAAAGAATATACATTTCAAACATATTTTTAGAATCAAACAGGAATATTCTTTTCAGGATGTACTGAGAATCTCATAGGTATATTCTAGGAATATCCTAATGGATTTCCCTGGAAGTTCTTGGGTATTGCAAACAGTATTTCTACAATCTTTTCTCAGAACATTCTCAGGACATTCGCAATGGTTTTGGCGAATATTCTAGGCACATTCCTCCTAAAAAAAGAACATTCCCATTACATTCTAAGGATGCAATTTTGTTATGTGGGTAGAGTAAAAGTTTTTTGAAAAACAAGTAGATAAGATTTTCGACTATATTTCATTTTTTCCATCCAACATTGGAGTCACAATTTGTAAAAACATAAAAACCGAAAATGTCGTAGATAACTTTATTGACTATATTTGACTTTTTCTATCAAATATTTGCGTCAATTTCGAAACAAAAAAACATAAAAACCTAACAAGTCGTGGATAATATTTTTGAATATATTTCATCTTTTCTATCAAACAACGCAGTTAAGTTCCCTTGAAGTGCGCGACTATCGTCGGTGCAAAGTTATAGTCGGGCCACCGAAAAAATATAACCATAGTAATAAAACCGGGCGCTAAACCTTCGAGGGGTCTGACAGGCAATAGACGAGCGGGTTTTCACCCACTTTATACCTTCTCATGATTAATCAAATTATTATTAAAAGCATGAATTAATTTTATCAGTATGTGAGTATATGCATGAATGCGATTCCAATAAATTATTTTGGGTTAAAATTACAATGAGAATTTCATACATCTGTCAAAAATGGTATTCCAACCATAAACTGACATGTTTTGATTGTTGATTTAAACCAATCAGATTAAAATTACGCGATAATTTGCACTAGTGCAAATTATCAGATAATTGCATACTAACTGGTGCGAGAACTGGTGTTTTGACATTTTTTGACAAAAATTTTTAATTTTTGATTTATGAAATTCTCTCATTAAATACAACTCGTGCAATGGAAATATATTCATAATTTTCAACAAATTTGCACTCATGCGTTTTTAACTGAAAAAAACACTCGTGCACTACGTGCACTCGTGCTATTTTTCAACTAAAATGCATTCGGGCAAATTTCCCAAAAATTATTCATAATTTCCATTGCACTCGTTATATTACTATTGAAAATCTATATACCTAATTTTAAGTATTCTCTAATTCAGGTAACCTATATAATTATTAACTCATTATGGAATATAAATTTTCTAGTTTCGAGAATGTAGGTAGGTACTCAGTAATTTCTTGCTCAGGTAAAATGATGATTTTATATAATAATTATGGTGTACTCCAACTTTTTTTTTAAAACTTCTAGAAATTGTTTTCTAAAACCTTTGACCCACCAAATGTTTTTCCTAAAAGGTTACAATTTCATGACCGCCCAAAAGGCCACCAAATATTTTGTATTTTGGTTTACATATTTATTATAATTTTACATAAATTATCTTATAGGTAAGATGGGTACCTAATTTATTACTGAGGGATGAATAGAAAAAAAAAATTACAAATTTATGTGTATGCTGAGATTGAGAAAAACTCGATTTTAAATAAAACAAATGTTATTATTTATAATAATGAGTAATATATTTATAAGTATTTAACTATAATCACATAATTTGTTTATTTGGCATAGACAATTTGTTTAATATTAAAAGAGCGATTTGGATAAAATGTTTAGGTGACTACCTACCTAATTTAATAACAAATGCATTTTATTAGGAAAAAAGCTAAACATGAAAACGCGGATGCGGAGAAATTATTTCGAGTCGGATGACGATGATGATGATTCATCACCATCAAAGTTAACAATCAGGGGCTCTATTCTGGTTTACATCATAGCATCCATAGTCCACATACTTGCCTCCACTTTCAGCACATGCCCAACAGCATTTTTCCAATTTTCAGGACTAACGTTGTAGACTGCTTCATTAAAAAAAATTTTAACATCTGCAATTTTGAAGGTTGTATTTTTTCGGGCCACTTCTCCTTTGATTTGTGCCCATATCAACTCAATAGGATTTAATTCGCAGTGGTACGGAGGTAATCTTTCGACTGTTCTATTGCAAGCTCTGGCCATTTCATCAATTACGTATTGGTTCTTGTGAAAACTTTCGTTTACGAGCGTTAATAGTTCTGCCTTCACCATATCCTCTTCAAAGCCTATATTTTTCCTAGTTAGCCAGGATTGTATATCAGCTTTTGTCGTAGATGATGTCGGTTTCTTATCAATTTTTCTAGAATGGTAAGATGCATTGTCCATCACTATGACACAATTTTCTAACCATTGCTCGAAGACTTGGGAATTCATTTCCTCGTGATAGTCTCCAGTTTTCTTTGACTGAAAGAGGAGCAAGCCGTTCTCAACAAATCCATCGTCTGAACCAATATGTAATATAATGAGTCTTTGTCCTTTACCTGTGGGATTCTTCAGTCCTGTAGATAGTCCATTTAGGAAAGCTTGCCTCGCCGTAGTTACAGTTTCGTCGCTCCATACTTTTGGAGTGACATGGCCAGCATTAATCCAGGTTTCGTCCAGATAATAAATCTTTTTTCCACTCGCCCTTACTGCTCGGATATTCCGTAAATAGCGTCGCCTCCAGCTCACAATTTCATTTTTTTCTTTTAGCATGCTATTTCGACTTCTTCTACCATACCGAAAACCAAGTTCACGGAGCAACTTTTTAAACGAGGTTTTCTTGAAATTAGGGATGTCCTCTCGCTCTTGAATAGCTGCTAATATTGCCTTTACACTAGGAGACTCGTTCTTGATAAAAAATGAATGAATTAATCTTCGAACTGATTTTTTTGTTTCCCATATCTATATTGTCCAAAACAGATTTTTTTCTTTTGTAAGCTTTGGCTGGCTTCAGTTCATGCTCGTTTTTGTGTTCCCGAAGAACGTTGTAAACGCTGGTTACTCCAATACCCATGGCCTCTGCTGTGAAATTCACTTTCTCAGTTTTTGTACAATCTGCATGATTTCGGTCACAAGTTTTGAAGGTATTTAGGATTGTCTCCTTTTCAGACACTGAGAAATGTCTTTTCCTCCGTCTTCTTGGTGGAGATAAATTTCCATCATTAGCATCCATGGGTCTTTTAATCAAAATGAAACAGATCCCAAAAAATGCTAGCAAACAATAAATGCCTGGCAACGTTGCTATGTGGATGTGCAGTAACTAAATTCGCAGTATTTCTTTTGCGGGTGGGAAGACTGGGAATATGTCATAGAAACGTTGCCGAGAATTTCTGTGCAAAAGCAGCGATGATGGCAGTGCAAGAGAATGCGAAAAAATGTCAACGTTTGCGAGATGCATTACAGGCTTTTAGCAAACAGTGGTCTTATAATCACAGAATCTTACACAAACGAAAATTTATTAAAATACATATACACAATATATAATAAGCAAACAATGAAAAATTCGTAACAACTTTTAATTTTTGTAGGCATACAGGAAATCCGGGACAAATACAACAGCTGGGAATGGCGCTACGGCAAAACTCCCAAATTTACCATCGCCCAAAATTTCGCAGTACCAACAGGACTCCTGCATACTAATGCAGGCGCTTCTGCTAGTTTGAAAGTGACTATGACAGTGGAAAATGGAAGAATTTCTGATATAACCATCTTCGTCCCACAGGAATTAAATTCGCTTGGATTTACTGGCGAAGCTAAAGTATTTCATGGTTTAAAAGGGAAGAAATTTACTGCACAAGCGTTTGAAGACTTAGAAGATTCCTTGGGCTCTCTTTTAAATGAGAAAGACAGATTTTTTACGGAATGCTTGAAACAGGTAATGACCAATGCCTAAATAGGATTTTTTCCATAAATATAATAATATGATAGCAATAATTGTTATGTAGAGTTTAGTATCCCGGGATCGGTCGCTACCCTTCCTATAACGCGATCGGTCGCGTGTTAGATTTTATCTAACACTAAGCCCCAGTTATACAATCTCGGTTCAAAACGAAGTTCAACTGACCTCGACTGGTACTTGAGCTTTTCCATTTAAAAACATTGCTGTCAGCTATTAATCAAATTCTATCAATTTTGACAGCAATGCATTTCAAATGATGTTCAAGTACCAGCCAAGTTTGGGTGAATTCTGTTTTGAACCAAGATTGTACAACTGGGCCTAAAAAAAAATTTCGGAATCAAAACGTAAACTTAAATTTGATAAATGCAATTAAGTCTTGGTATTTCAATCGTAGTTGGTCGCGTAGTTTTTTTTCTAACAGCTAAGTGTACGTTGAGGTCGTGTTAGATTTTAACTAACATCTAAGTCATCTTTCCGATATGGCTGACCCTTCTGAGTCAGCTAAATGCCGATTTGCCATGAGCTTACATAGGACCTCTTCCAGGAATTTCAGGAGGGCGAATGAACTAACGCCACTATTTAAAGTTTTATGTGCATAAAACTAAAAGTGTTACATTTTTTCTAACACCGCGACCGATCCCGGGGTATAAATAATAACAGTGATGTTGCTTGAAACATAATCATTGTTTAAATAATTTCGATGTCTAATGTCTACATTCAATTTTTTGAATTTAATTAGATACTTGTTGATATCATCATTGAACAGTTACATTTTTCTTTAGAAATAAAATTATTTTCTTTTTTCTTTATTTACATTAACCGCAGATTTGATACGTGCAGAAAGATGAGTAATTATTTCAGGATACAACATCGAAAGAATTTTTACGAATTTAATTTTAAGTTTCAACCGCATAGTACCTGTGTGGCTATCAAGCATTATTCATGTCACTATTACCAAGTAATTTTTTCTCATATAGTTTTCACCTATAAGGCTTTTCGTTGATAGGTTATTATGTAACTCACAATATTGTTTCGCAGATGTTGTGCCTTATTTTTTAGGTATTACCTTATTGTAGCTGTGGCTGTAGCTTAGTTGTAGCTTATATTCTAATAAATATAAAATATTGTACTATTGCTTTATTTACTTTTTTTTCGAAGTGAAACTTCTTCACCCTCGCTGTGGTGGAAATTCGAGGCCGTGATAGAAACACCAGCTAACGAGATGAAAAGCTGTAACGGTAACGATAGAGTTCTCGGTCTCCTCTTTGAGCAGTGCTTCGTAGCCTCCCCTCTGCTGTCAGCCGGCCTGATTAAAACCTATATAGCAACGTATATAGTAAAAACCAAATGAAAATCATATGCAGCGTGTTGTTTAGAGACATTGTAATTACAAATAATGGCCGGTTTATACAACATTTGCATAGTCATAATCATAATCATAGTCTTAGTCATAAGATTTAAAATAATATTTTCTTATGGAACCGTTTATACACACATCATAATCATAAGCATAAGCATAAGCATACCTCAAAGTTGGCAACTTTTAACTTTTATGATTGTGACTAAGACGAGATTCAAACTGCGCAAGCGCCATTATCAGCTGTTACAGAGAAAAACAATTCAAATCTGCTATATTAGTTCTGTGTGTATTTAAATTGATCTTGAGTCATTCTACAGTATTCAAAAAATTGGTCTCCATCAAGCTTCCACATGTCTTTGAATAATGTGGCAAAATACCCTTCCTTCTGCCTTTTTTTATTGATGGGCTTCACTTTCCACCTTCTTTGTATATGGTTTGCATTTGTTGAAGTTGTTTATTAAATGCCACAGCCATGAGTGAAGCAAAACTCAAAAATAAATAGGACAGACCTATCACTTGTATGGTTTTCTTTCGCAGAATTTTGATTTCCACACTTTTTGAAACTTTGAAAAAGTATTAATTCGATTCGAATCGATTTCGATTCCCAAAAAGTAAACAAACTCGCCCTACAAAAAGTCGGGTTGGAGTTAATTTTATTTTATACTTATGACATTGTATAAACGCCTTCTTAAATTGTGATTATGATTAAGACTAAGTCTATGATTATGATTATGACTATGCAAATGTTGTATAAACCAGCCATAAGGTATAACCAGTGATAGTTTTAATTTGTTTACTTGTTTTTTCAAATTACAGACTAGTGGTAAGATGTCGGTTAGATAAGAAATTACGAATAAAGAACCAATAAACATGTACTTACTTCTATGGCAATGAAAGAAAAAATAGTAAAAAAGAAGTAATATTAGGTACTTCTCAAATTAATGATAAAGTCGAACTGAATTTTACCCTATTTAAAATCAAATTGCTAATGTTAAAATCTCGGCTAAAATATTCAGCTTTGTGAATAGAATTTGATTTGATTAATTTTAAACTCATATCCAAACGGTGCTGTCCGTGACTACGACCCTTGGTCTAGGTCTGCCGCCCGAGAAAATCATTAATTAATTATAATAATTATTTATCCAAAAATGATTTTGTACGCATTGGCGACGTCTGAACTTTCAAGTTAAGGATGATGATGTATGGGCAGCATCATTCTACATAAGTAAAAATCCCGCGCATTTCCGTTATGTTGGAGGGGAGAGGAGACGCATAGGAATACTTAGTGACGCGATGCGTATTTGTGAGCGGACCACATGCTCATCAAAAATATTACGAGTATAACACAGTTATCAGGTATAGTTCAGGGGAAATTGCTGCGACTTAATCTAAACCAGATTTTACATCGTTAATTTAAATATGAATTATTCAATAGGAGTGTAGCTGTTAAGGCTGAAGAAGTTTCACTTCAATTATGCGAACATAGTGCACACACCCTTTTTTATAGTTGTCATATAAGTATGTATGTAGTTTGGCAACATAAAGGTACTTAAAATTTGAAAATACGATTGTATTTCCTTATGGAACCCATCAACTCTGGATAAAACATTCGTGATAGTATATTACATACCGAGTAGGGAAGGGTTTCATTACTGTCGAGAGATGATTGACTATTAATCTCGAGACAGAGGTTTGTATATTTTATTTGCAAGCACACCATCAATTGGAAATGAGTTATTTAATTTTTTATTAATAGAAAATTAAACCTGACATGTTCTAATTGTTGCCAGTACAGGTAAACAAATTTGGAGTGGAAGAAATCAGTGAGGGAAATTGAATAGGAAAATTGGTGAGGGAAGTCGAAGAGGGAAGTAGAACAGGTAATGTGACGCTTCCGAATTTTTTAAAAGTCAGTAATGTCAAGATTACATATATGGTTGCAAATAAAAATATAAACTGTACCCCCTTTTGTAATTTACTGAACTAGAGGCTCATAATACGCTCAGCTTACTCAGGGATAATTAGGTGTGGGTTAATAGTGTATACAGAATGGATAAAAGCACACAACTTCATTTTTAGAAAAAGAAAATTAAGTAAGTAAAAAGTTAAAATTCAGATAAATACTTGAAAAAAAAATATATACATGAAAAGAAAAGAGTAGGTAATCCTGTAAAAGAAAATATTAATGAAACTCAACCAAATTTTGATATAGGCAAACCATTGAAATGACCAAACAATTCCAAATTAAATAGTGTATATTTCCAGGGTGATTTCAGTTTCAAACCTGAGGATAATAAATATATTCAATTAATGTGTAAAATTATTGCAAACTTTCTAAAAATAAATCAGGATAGGTGAATGTCGATTTGGTAACTTCAAGCAATATAACTACCTTCCACAGTATACACATTCTATAAATATTCACATGAACAGTGAACAGCTGTTAGCTATATCACCAAATCAAATTAATAAAATGAAGAGAATACCATGAAAGCTTTAGCTTTAAAAAATATACGGGTGGGCCACTGAAAACTTACAATGGCTATAATTTTTGTACCAAAAAAGATATTGAAAAAATAAAAAATACCGTTTTTATAAAATCAGGGCGGAATACACATGACGTATTTTTCAAACCACCCCGACCTACCCCTTAGGCGCCACCCCTACTCGCTTCAAAATCTTTAATGGCAACACCCCACTTGTGGCACCTTTTTGGAAAGCTCATGAAAAGTGCTTAACGATGGTCATAAAATTTTTAGGGTGACATTGGAAAACTACCCGTCAAATGAAAAAAATTGGTAGAAATAAATTTTACAAAAAAAAAGAATTTTTAGCATGAAATTAGAGATAGGAAATTGAAGCGACCCAGCTAAATTCAAATTACGTATTTTTCAAACCACTGCGACCCACCCCTAGGAGCCACCCTCACTCATTTGAAATTCTAAGATTGCGGTACTCCACTTGTGGCACCTCTATGGAAAGCTATTTGAAAATGCTAAACGATGGTCATAAGGATTTTAACCTAAGAAAATTACGGCTAAGTAGAGATTAAGAAATGTAGGTGTGACATTTTGAAAAATAGTAACCAAATTAAAAATGATCTAGATAATTTATTTTAACAATTGCTCAAAATGACAGCCGTTTTGTTCCATACAAAAATACAAACGACTTTCAAATTCTTCTCTCACTTTCTGGAACATCTCTCTCGGAATGTTTCGACATGCCACAATTATCCTCTGCCGCAATTCTTGCAACGAAGCTGGTTTTGTCTTGTAGACTATGGATTTAATGTAACCCCACAAAAAGAAGTCTAAAGGAGTGAGGTCAGGTGACCTTGGCGGCCACTCGATTGGACCCCTTCTGCCAATCCATTGCCTTGGATAGAATCTATCTAACCACCGCCTTGTGACAATAGCATAATGCGGAGGGGCTCCATCTTGCTGAAAGTGTATGATGTCTTCATCAAGATTCAAATTTCCTCCCAAATCTCTTTGATTTTCAACCTCATTTACAATTTCCGGCTCTATCGCATTGTCCAGCATTTCCACATAAACAGCACCCGTCAAATTTCCGTCGATGAAAAATGGACCTATTATTTTATCGCCCAGTATTCCGCACCAAACATTGAGCTTTTGGGGATTTTGGGTATGTCCTTCAACAACAATATGTGGATTCTCATCGCTCCAGTATCTGCAGTTCTGTTTATTCACATTTCCATTTAGCAAAAACGAGCACTCATCACTAAAACAAACATTTTTAGTGAGTGAAGGTTGCCTTCGAATTTCCTCCGTCATTAGTTCGCAGAACTGAATCCTTCTATTTGGATCATCGTCGCCAAGTTCCTGCAGAATTTTCATTTTGTAGGGGTGGAATTTGTGCATTGTTAATACTCTTCTGACAGATGTTCGGGGTATGCCTGTTATTGATGCCAACTGGCGCGTTGATGCTTCTGGATTGACCGACACCTGACCAATAACTTCGATTTGCATTTCTTCATTCAGTACCCTGGGCCCTACCCTTTTTTGATTTTTGACCGATCCCGTTCGTTGAAACTTTTGGATCAAATCCCTAACATAAACGTGACTAACGTTTCTGTCAGGATTTCTCTCATTGAAAGCACGGGCTGTTCTCAAATAGCACCTACCTTCAGCACCATAAAGAAAAACTATTTCAATTCTTTCTTCCACACTATAAACCATTTTTCGAAGTTTTAACTAAGTAAATTAAATAAAGGTAGAAACTATCGTCACTAAATTTGCAAAATAATGATTTGAAAAATGATAGAAGACAGTAAGTAATGCATTTTGTTTTTTTTTTTGTTGCTGTGGGTCGGGTTGCTATAGAAAAGTAAACAAATAGCTGATAAGGAAGAATTTGCGTTACCGCAACTTCTTATTTGTGGATTGGTGGAAAATGTTAAAATAAATTATCTAGATCATTTTTAATTTGGTTCCTATTTTTCAAAATGTCACACCTATATTTCTTAATCACTACTTAGCCGTAATTTAATTTAGGTTGAAATCCTTGTGACCACCGTTTAGCATTTTCAATTAGGTTTCCATAGAGGTGCCACAAGTAGGGTACCGCAATCTTAGAATTTGAAATGAGTGGGGGTGGCGCCTAGGGGTGGGTCGCAGTGATTTGAAAAATACGTAATTTGAATTTAGCTGGGTCGCTTCAATTTCCTATCTCTAATTTCATGCTAAAAATTTTTTTTTTTGTAAAATTTATATCTACCAACTTTTTTCATTTGACGGGTAGTTTTCCAATGT